TGTTTTGAGGTAGGGTCTTCCTGTAGCTCCAGCTGGCCTAGAACTCGCTATGTAGACCAGGCTGGCATCAAACTCACAGAGATCTGCCTGCCTCTGCCTTCTGAGTGCTGGGAATAAAGGCATGCACCACCACGCCTGGCTTAAGTCTTACTTTAGTCCACTTTTTCCCTTTCTTTCCTCCTGCTCTTCCAGGATATAAATGTTTATTGTTTCATTGTGAGTTAGAAGTATGCAACTTTGTTTTTGAGTTTTTAGGTGTTGTAGCTAAGAGTTTGAACTGAGTTTCAGTAGAGACTTTGGATTTCTGAAGTACTGGGTCTGTTTAGACTATAGAGACTTCCAAAATTAGACTAAACACATTCTTTCATTAGCAGACGGTCAAGAGTCTATGGGGGCAAGGGACAGAATGTTATGGCTTGGATTTGAAATGTCTCCCACAGATCCATGGACTTGTAGACTTTGGTTTCCAGCTGGAAGTGGTTTGGGGAGGTTGTGGGGCCTTGAAGCTCTGGGTGATGAAGGCGGGGTTTTAAAGGTATAACCCAGCCCTGGTTCTGGTCTAGCTTTCTCTGCTTCCTTCCTGCTACCAGGTGATCAGTCGCCCCAAGCTTCTGCCAACATGCCCTGAGATGCTCACTCTGGAATCCCTTCCTCACTACGATGAACTGAAATCTCCTGGAAACTTGAACCCATAAATCCTTCCACCCTTAAGCTACTTCTGTCAGGTACTTTGTTACAGTGATGCAAAATTTACCATAACACCCAGTCAGTGTCTCTTGCTGATGGGGCTGGGGTGACACAAGGCTGAGTCTGCTCGCCCACTTTCTTCACTGACTTGGGACAAGGGAGAGCTACCTGGCAGACTACCACATACCCTAACTCCTACCCAGTAGGAAGGGCCCTCAGCCCTGCCCAGTAGTTTTTTTGTTTGTTTGTTTGTTTTTTTCTGACACCTAGACTGGCAAAATCCTTTCCTTCAGGTTGGTATACAGCTTCATGGTCCAGCAAGGCATGAGAACAAAAGGCTAGCTTCCTGGAGGCACAGGTGGACTGCATCTCCCAGGCGTTAGCTCTATATGGCCGTGTGACTGGGTGCTAGCCAATGCAATGTGTCCACAGAAACCTCACTGTTGTTCAGCTTGCATTCATTCCCTGTCTGCTGACTGAATGTTGGTGTCCTGGGGCAAACCAGGGAAAGGTCTCTAAGAAGATGTAGGGCACAGACAACAACTTCTCCAGAGTCAAGCCAGTGAGATTTCAGAGTGTATCTGTTAGAGCAGATGGTGTTCCTTCAACCAGTAAGGCTCCTGACTGAGCACCTCCCTCTCCCTCCACAATCACACCCTCTGTGGGTACAGCAGTGGGGATTGGGGACCATTCAGCTCTGGGCCGTGTGTCCCCACCTCACAAGGAAAGCACTGCAGAGGCGAGGGCCCTCTCCAGCCAGTCCTTGGGACAGAGTAGTGTTCTTGCCTCAGCCTCAGGCCTTAGGTCCTGCCCTCTGTCCTGGGTCACCTGAGGGTTGGGAGTGGGGATCACAGGTGCCCACTCAGGATGTCATCACCCCTCAGCCGGGGGTATTCTCTGGGGAGTTGGGAAGCAGGCCAGCTGCCACCTGGTCTTGGTGCCATAGCTGCTCTGCAAGGCCATTGAGCACGTGAGCAGTGTCAGCCAGCCCAGCCCGTCCATCCAGTGTGCGCCCATCGGCTAGCCGCCTCCCTGACACACTCTTCACCCGCAACAGGGGCAGTTCCCAGGTCTGCCGGAAGGCTGTGAGGTCTCGCTCAGGCACGTCCGTGTGCATGTACTGGTCAAACCTGAAGGAGGGTTAAGGAACCTAGCCATCTGGCTCTGCCAATACCCCATCTGACCCAGCCTTGGCCTTCTCCCTAGGGTTCACACCCAGAGGCTGGGGTAGGCCCTGGAAACCCTTTAAGAAAGAGCTCATAGGCTGGGCCTCATGAAGTGACCTCCTTGCTCTGTGCCTTATTAGAGGTGGCCTCTGACCCTCCCAGGGCCATTCAAAGGATTCTTGGAGCCAATAACCATCCTGACGACCCTAGGAGCCTCGCTGGCTATTCGGGCCAGCTGTCCAGGAAGATCTTCAAAGGAAGAACGGTCAGTAAAGGAGAAGAGGAAGAGGAAGGCGTCTGCGTTCTCTTTGCAAGCCTGAAGACAGAGAGGATGGCTCACAGCATGTGAGCACATGGCCATGTAATCATATACCCATGGGACTGCAACTCTCCGATCAGCCTCAGGGTCCTGAGAAGAATCAGTATCAATCCCTGCTTTCCCAGACCAGGAAATGGAGGGTCAGAGCAGAAAATGACGGAGACACAGCTTGCTTTGGCTGACCACCTCCTCCCACAGCCCATCAAGGTCCAGCTGTTCACTCACTGGCAGCATGTGGTCGAACTTTTTGAGGGCAGACTCCCCACAGTCCCAGAACTCGAAGCGGAACATGACAACACGATCACTGGCCTGCAGCTTTGCCGGCCAAAATACCACAGTGGTCTGGATACCTAAGAAGACTTGGGGTCAACCACTGAGAAGTGGAGGGAGGGGGACGGGACAGGAAGGGGTAGGAGGAAAAGATTTCTACCCTGGGGGTCATACTCTGACATAGTAGGCACGGCTCCTGACCTGACAGAATTCTGTCCCAGAAGGTAACAGTCTTGCCCTGAGGTAGTCCTTGATAGACCAGGAAGATGTAGCCCTGTCTGGGAAAGCAGTCTGCATAGGGAGACCCCAAAGGTCCTGGGACAGTAGGGGGTGTGGCAACATTATGGATCAGAAAGCACTTCTGGAGCATCTATCTTTTTGTTTTGTCTTTTTGAGACAGGGTCTCCCCGTAGCCCCAGCTGTCCTGGAACTCACCATGTAGACCAGGCTGGCCTTGAACTCAGAGATCCTCCTGCCTCTGCCACCCGAGTGCTGGAACTACAGATGTGCGCCACATGCCCGGCTTGAGCATCTATCTTATACCAACTAGACATAGGCATGTGGTCACCACTGTTTCCAGTGCCAACCCAACAACATGACTTTCAAGATCACAGAGGAAATGGTAAAATTAGGTATAAACCCCTGCTTATGTGGTCAGGGGCCAAATTCTTGTCTCTAAAGATGGGACAAGGGTTAGGTCCACTTACCAGTGGTCTCATGGTGTACAACGGGCACCTCCAGGCCTGCCAGCTTCGCCACCAGTGCTGTCTTGCCCACACCACTCTTCCCGGACACAAAGATCTTGTAGCTGGCAGTATCAACGGCCACAGAAGGGGGCAGCACTGGCCGTTCGAGCAATCCTGGGCAAGGAGGGAACCAGGTAGTTAGGGAGTCAATCCTGCCTTGCTACATCAGACCCTGTGCTAGACACCTCATCTCTAAAGCTAGTCAGCTGGGTTTTCAGTACCCAACCCAGTTCCACAGATGCTTAGGATATACAGAGGCAGCCTAGAATTTAACAGTTAATCTGCTGATAATTGTCAATTGCTATGGACTGCTGTTGGAAGGCCTGGATGACACGTTCCTCTGGGCACACTTAGCTGTTAACACCCAGAATACCTGCTGGAAAGTAAATACTACAAAAATTTGAAGTCCAGTTGTGGATGCAGCTCAATTGGTAGAGTGCTTTCCTGGCATACAAAAGGCTCTGGGTTTGACCCCAGCACTGAATAAACAGGGTGTTGGTGATGCATGCCTGTAATCCCAGCACTTGGAAGGTGGGGGCAGAAGGATCAAAAGTTCAAGGACATCCTCAGCTACGTAAAGAGTTCGAGGCCAGCTGGGGCTACATGAGTTCAGCTTCATCAGTGCTATTCCTCAAAGTTCTATCTTCCTGATACTGTGACAGAGTTATAAGGTTGATTGATGGGTTCTATGTTATTTCCAGAAAACCTGCTCTACCTTCCTTCCCTCAACTCTCTTCTCAAATACTGTTGACATAGTACCAGCTACTCTTAATGAATACCCACTGCTCAGTGCACTGTACGCATGCTCCATATTCATTTCCCCAGTATGTCTAAGGGTCAGAGATGGCAATGCTCCTCATTGACAGAGGAACCTGTCTGGTCATTGGGGGATATGGGTGAACCCTAGGTCTGAGTAGCCCAAATCCAGTCCTCCCAGCCACCATAGGACAGAGAGAGAAAATGACCGTATCAGAGAATCATGCTTTTTGCTGTTCTAATTTTGGGGGAACAGTGACGCCAGGTGCGGTGGTACACATATGCAGTGCCAGCTTTAGTGACGAATGTCTTCAGCCCAAACCTCACATGTGCAAGGGATACTAAGGTAACTTTTTTTAAAACAATATTTTATTTGTTTTCATTTTATGCATTTTGTGTATTGCCTGCATTTATGTAAGTACAGCCATGCTGTGCAATGCCTGTGGAGGTCAGAAGAAAGTGTTGGATTCCCCTGGAACTGGAGTTGCAGATGGTTGCTAGCCACCACGTGGATGCTGGGAATTGAACCTGGGTCCTCTGCAAAAGCAGTCAATGCTCTTAACCACTGAGCCATCTCTCTAGCCCAGGTGACTTTTTAAAAAAAAGTAAAATTTTTTTTTTTTGTTGTCTTTTTGAGACAGGGTCGCCTGTAGCTCCAGCTGTCCTGGAACTCACTATGTAGACCAGGCTGGCCTTGAACTCACAGAGATCTGCCTGCCTCTGCCTCTGCCTCCTGAGTGCTGGGATTAAAGGTGTGTACCACCACGCCCGCAAAAAAGTAGTTATTATTACTGTGTATGGGGTGTGTGTGTGTGTGTGTGCATCAGTGCATGTGTGGTCAAAAGACAACTTTGGAACTCACTTCTCTCCTTCTACCTTTCTGTGGGTTCTGGGGATCAAACTCAAGTCACCAGGCTTGTGAGGTAAGTGCTTTACTGGCTGAGCCATCTTACTGGCCCCCAACGTGAAGTTCTTGAGATGATGAAAGATCCTGTCCCATCCTTCATCTCTTGTGTGGGCATCTCAGAGAGTGGTAGTTCTAAAACCTTTAGTCCCTGTTACACTATGGTCCATGGCCCATCTGCAGCAGCATCCAGGGGAGCTTGTTAGAAATGCCAAATCTCAGCTGTAAAGATCCTCTGGCTTGGAATCTGCATTGTAACAGGACCCCCCAAAGAAGGCTCTGCTTAGAACCATGTTCTTCTACACGGGCCTTGGATCACTCTAATCTACTTTCTCTCTCTGTCTCTCTGCTTGTCTCTGTCTCTTTCTCTCTTTCACTTTTTTTCTGTGGTGTTATGGATATTAAGCGAATGCTCTACCATGAACTTATATCTCTAAATCCCCTTAAGTTTGATGCTTGAGATGATCTTTTATTGATACTGCTATCATCTCTTCTGGATTTCCCACACACAAGAGCATGGTGTTTTACAAATTCCTTCCTTAATAGGGAAATAAAGGCAAAAGCATTTACAGTGACTACAAATAAATCCCATAAATTCAAAGCAGGTGTGGTGGTGTAATTCCAGCACTTGGGAGGTAGAAGCAGGTGGATCTCTATGAGACTGAGGTCAGCCTGGACAACATAGAGGGTTCCAGGCCAGCTGGGACTCCAGGGAGACCCTGTCTCAAAAACAAAACAAAAACACTCCCCCAAATAACATAAAATCAATTCACTGAGACTTCCAGGAGGTCTTAAAACTTGTGTGTGCACACAAAGTCAAATTCTATAGGCTAAGGAGTTGAAACCTTTGGCTTTTTTGCTTTGTGGTGCTGGGGATGGAAGCGAGGGCCTCTGGCACACTAGGTGAGAGCTCAGTCATGAAGCTGTATCCCCAGCACCTCTTTATTTCTCATTTATTTGGTTGGTTGGTTGGTTGGTTGGGGTTTTATTTGATTAACTAAGATGGAATCTTGCTAAGCTGCCCAGGCAGGCCCTGAACTTGTGATCCTCTTGCCTTAGCCTCTTTAGTAGCTGGGATTACAGAGCTGAAGACTGCTGGTGTTTTGTCTACCATGGCCATAGCTGGACTCTCGAAGTTGATGTCAAGGCCCTCAGTCTGTAGGCTTGCTTGCTGGGGCAAGCTGGCTTTATCTGGGGTGCACCAACCCCTTACCCTAGACAGCAGAGTAGGAAGGGGCTCACCTCTCCTCACTAGAACATGATCCTGGACAAGTCTGTAAGTGTACTGTTGAGGAGATTAAGTGAGAGTCCACTGTGCAAAGCACCCAGCAGAGGGCCTGGCACCAGGGAAGGACTCAAGCACAGCGTCTCTGGTGACAGTTGTTGCTGGCAGGGACGGGCTGTTTCCACTCTCCTGGCTCTGTTGGTGGAATTAACACTAAGGAGATTTGGGCAAGGGGACCCTAAGGACATGATATCTCGGAGTCCCAGGGGTGAGGGGCGCTGTGGAGCTGGCCCTACTGCCCTGTTTCTCCCTGGAGCCCCAACAGACGACACTGTGTCAAGAGTGGTGGTGGTGGAGAGGCACTTACCGAACACCCGCCGGCGGTTCTTGCGCAGGACGCAGGCCAAGTACTCCTTGCCCTCGACCGTCTCATGCCAGTCTGGAACGATGACTGAACCGTGCAAGGGAGGTCTGGCCATGGCTGAGCACACAAGTGAGGTAAGGAGGTGGCAGAACACTGGGAGTGGACGTGGAGAGAGGATAACCATCACCCCAAGCCGGCCCTGGGGTCCCTCTTAGTCTCCCTTGGAGCCCCGGTTCCCCATCCCGGAGATTCATCTCCATAACCCCTCGCCTCCATCTTGCTGGCTGCGGACAGTTAGCCCATCACTGTCCGCTCTGGGTCGAATCACCTCCCGAGGGTCACACGCCTGCTTCGGCTCTGCTTCCTCCCCCGACTCTTGGGACCACCCACCTTCACAGCCTGGAGTCCTTCCCGCAGGCAGGCAAGAGGAGAGACGGTCCCTTTAAAAGTCCGCCCCGCGTTCCCGCGCCCAGCTAGCAAAGCCTGCTTCCACGCGGCCCGCGTCCGTACCTCGCCTACCCAGGCGCGCATGTGCAGAATATTGCCATGACGACGCAGGCAGGGCTGGGCTGCTGCGTTCAGGGCTGTGTTGATCTATTCTACAAGGTCTGCTTCTGCAGTGCCCACTGAGTAATGGCAAGGCAGCAAATTGTGCCCTTCAATTAGTTCCTCCTCCCCTTTACTCAGTATGAGCCCCGATTTTCCTCTCCAACTTCATCAAACCCTCCAGGAGGCTTCTACCTCTCAATTCTCTGTGCCTCAGTTTTCTCTTCTACAAAGTGGACATTAATTGTTTTTTTAAAAAACCTCATAGCGTTCTTTGTATCAGTCCCAGATCCTTAGAAGAGCCCAATAAGTTTAATTATTAATGCTATTATCAATTTTACTAATTCTACTCGGCCAAGTCCATAAGAGTCAAACACCTCTAAACTGAGAAGTCCAGGGACGTGCAAGACCTCTTAAAAAGAATTCTTGATTTACTCATTCCTTTTATTCAACAAATAATTACTGAGCCCCAACTGTATGCCTCACCTCTAGCTCTAGGTGCTGAGTATGCATGGGTGAACAAAAAGCCTGGACTACATCCCAGCCCTGGGGCTGTAAGGTTCTCCCCATTGTTCTGATCCAGGGCACCCATCACTCAGAGGTGGCTCTCAGAAAATGCCCATGAGTTGGACAGGATACAGAAGGCCACCTCTGAGAGATGTCTTGTTATTTTAATTTCCACCCGAAAGGCATGTAGTGCCTTTAAGAGGGGCCAGCCACTGTTTTTGTTTTGTTTTTTAATGTTTTGTGTGTATGTGTGTATTGCCTGCATGTACGGAAGTGTATCCATGTCATACAATGCCTGAGGAGGTCAGAAGAGGGTGGCTGGATCCCCTGAAACTGGAGTTACAGTTATGATTCTCCACATGGGTGCTGGGATTCGAACCCAGGTCCTCTACAAGAGCAGCCAGTGTTCTTTTTTAATTTTATTTATTTTATGTGTATGCGTGTATTGACTGTATGTAGGTAAGTGCACCCGTGTCATGCAATGCCCACGGAGGTCAGAAGAGTCTGTCAGATCCCCTGGGACTGGAGTTATGGACAGTTATTAGCTGCCATGTGGGTGCTGGGATTCGAATACGGGTCTTCTGCAGGAATAACCAGTGTTCTTAACTGCTGAGCCATCTCTCCAGGCCCGCAGCCAGTGTTCTTAGCCAATGAGCCATCTCTCCAGCCCCTTCAGCCACTCTTTTGCAAAGAGTTTTGGCCCGAGAGTGGGGCTTTCTGGAGGTTGCTGCATTGGAGTCTATGAACATACAGCTATGGGCAAATAATGTCAAATCGATTTTCTTTTACAGATGAAGAAATTCAGAGGAATAACAGGGCTTGTCTGAGGTTACACCACACAGCTAGTCAGTGGAAAAACAGACTCACAGCCAGGGTTACCTGACTCTAAAAGAACGTATCTATTCAGCCAGATTGGGTTTTGATAGTTCAACACTTCATCCCCAGCCCCTAGGAGGGGCTAGTGAGGCTAACAGCAGCCAAAGGGCCACAAACCCACAAATGGTAGAGGCTCACGTCTCTGGGGGTAAGGGAGGAAGGTATGGAAGAGAGGGTGCTTTCTTCAGCCTGCTCACACTGCAGCTAGGCTGGGCAAACTCTTGAGCTCCTACAGGATTCTGTGGCTGGAATCCTTTGCGCGTGCTCCTGGGTCACGTGATTCTCCTCTGGCACTCACCACATCTGCCCAGTCAGGGTTAGTCACAGCTGTGCACAGCTCTTTCCTGGGCCAGGAGTGCTCAAATCTGAATTGTTTTTGGAATTTCTAGATTTCACTCCCAGTCCTGCCCTGGCTGGGCTTGTGGGGGACTCAGTGAGGGGGTGAGAAAGTACTGTAAGGTGGTGGAGTGAGCGCGTGTTAACCTGGAGGCCTCTTGGACTTGTCAGGTCCTCTCAGGCACAGACAAGGAGGCTTTTGCTTAGAGGAGTTAGTGGCCAGAAGGTTAATATTAGCTGCTCTCAGTGAGCTCATGGAAAGTCCCATTTCACCTGGGAGCATTCAGAGCTGGACTCTGGGCCCACAGCCTGTGGAGATTTTTCCTCAGTAGCTAGGGGGAACCTGTGAGTCCACACAGCCAACCAAAACACTGGCCAGTGAGTACTGCTCCAACAGTACCATTTTTCAGGGCTTACGCAACAGAAAGTTTTGGTTTTTTTTTTCACAGTTTTGGAAGCTGGACTCCAACCTCCCATGTGGCAGGGCTGGTTTCTAGCAAGGCTCCTTCTGTGCAGACATGACCTCCTCTCTGCTTAATCTCTTGCTGTTGCTCCTTAGACCAAACCTCACTGTGTAGCCAGGTTGGCCTTGAGCTCCCCATTGTCCTGCCTCAACTTCCTGAGTGCTGGGATTACAGGTGTGAGGCACCACACTGGCTTCTGCTGTCTCATAAGGACATCAGGCCTATTGGATTAGGGCCCTGTTGTTACGAGCACATTTCATCTTGATTACCTCTTTTTTGTTGTTTTTTGAGACAGGCTCTCACTGCGTATCCAGACTGGTCTGGAACTCACTATGTAAGCTTGGACGGCCTCAAACTCAGAGATCCACCTGCCTCTACTTCCCAAGTGCTGGGATTAAAAGTGTGTGATGCCTCAGGACATCAGGCTTGTGCTGAAAGTATCTTTACCTTATGAGTCTTCTTGTCAGTCTACTAACAGTATATTTTTAAGGTTTTATCATTTTAAAATAATGCTCGCTGGGCGTGGTGGAGCACACCTGTAGTCCCAGCACTTGGGAGGCAGAGGCAGGCAGATCTGTGAGTTCGAGGCCAGCCTGGCCTACATAGTGAGTTCCAGGACAGCTGGGGCTTCAGGGAGACCCTACTTCAAAAAGACAAAAAAACAAACAAACAAAAAAACAAAAAAAAAGTGTGTGCCACTACACCTGGCCCAAAGGCTTATATATTTTATGTGTATGAGTATTTTGCCTGCATGTATGTAAGTGCTCCATGTGCATCTAATGTACATGGAGGCCAGAAGAGGGCATCAAATCCCCTGGAACTGAAGACAGAGATGGTTCTGAGCAGCCATGTCAGTGCTGAAATCTGAACACAGGTCCTCTGCAAGAGCAGTATGTGTTCTTAACCACCGTACCATCTCTCCAGCCCCTTAATTACCTCCCTATAGGGATTCATCCAAATATAGCTGCATTAGAGTTAGGGCTTCAACATACAGGTTTTGCTGGGGCACAAGTTAGTCTATAATAGTGCCCAAGAGCTCACTTAAATAAACACTGCGGCTGGGGACAGGAAGCCAGACAACACAGGGGCTGGCAGGTTCGGAGTTGTGCTTCCATACTTATGGACACTCTTGGTCTACTGGGTTCCAGCCTCCTGCATTCTTTAACCTCTAAACTGTCATGGGCCCAATAGGTTGCTTGCTTTTTAGGGCCTAAGGCAACAGGTGGGTCATCTCCTTAAGGAGCCTTCCAGTGTAGAACACTCCCACGAATCCACTCCTTTTTCCACAGTTTGATCTTACCACGTGTATTTATCCAACACCTCTGGACAAGCTATCACAAGGCCTTAGGAGGAGGATTTCTCAAGATAGGTAGTCAGAAGTCTGGAGTGAATGGGAGGCCCAGGTAGGCAGACACACACAGGCCTCAGCGGGGTAAGAGTGGTTGAAAGCAAGGCATAAACAGCCCTGCCTGAGCAGCCCAAGGACACGGCAAATAGAAGCCCACCAAAACCACCAGCCCATCTCCCTTAAGTCATTCTCTAAGCTGGAGCTAAGGCTTGCCCAGTTAAAGGCACTGACCCAATATTGTGATGACTCCCAGACAACTAACTGGACAGATGGTGGAGCCCCTAACTGGGGAAGGAAGAGGAGACCAGAGCATCAGAGGAAGAGCCTGACATAGGGCTGAGAGCACTACTAGGAGGCAACATGCAGCAGTGTGGTGTAGAGAGTGAATGGCCTAGCTAGAATTGGGCACTATCAGCCATGGATGGATGGATCCCCAAATATAGACAGAGCAAAGGCCTAAATGCCACCCCGGCCACTCCTGGTATCCTCAAGCTGGGCCTGTTACTTCTGTCCAGGGGAGCCTCACTGCACCTGGAATAATCCCATCCTGCTCCCTCACCATGGTCTACAGGGCCCACTAGGCCCACCCTCCCTCCCTCCCATAGCAGCCACACTGGCTTTTCCTCTCCTCCTTCCCCAGGGCCTTCGCTCTTGCTGTTCCATCTACATGGACTCCTCTTCCTCCAAGGTGTCCCCAGGGCTGGCGTCTCCACACTCAGCTCTCAGCTGAGATCTGCATCTTCAAGAAGCCTGCTAGGAGCTTTGAGGTGGCACAGCAGGTAAAAGCAATTGCCACCAAGCCTGACGATCAGAGTGTGATCCCTGGGACAGCTGTGGAAGGGGACATCCCTGGGACCTACATGGTAGATGGACAGAACCAACTCCAAGTTGTCCCTTGATCTCTACATGTGCACCTTGGCATGTGTGTACCTACACACACACTCCCCATACACACAATAATAAATAAATATTAAAAGAGAGGAGCTCAGTGGATAAGGATGCTTACTATTCTATCAGAGGACTGGAGTTCAGTTTCTAGCACCCACATGGGGCAGCTCACAAATGCCCAGTTTCAAAGTTTCTGATGCCCTCTTCTGGCCTCCATGGACACCTGCACACACATGTGCACAGGCAGACACACACATAATACACATAATTAAAATATTTTTTAAAAGGCTTCCTGGGGGAGCCCAACCACATTACACAGTCACATCCATCACTACCAGGAGAATTTTGCTTGACTGTTTACACACTTGTCTGGCCCCTTATGCCCCACCTTCATGCTAAAGCATGAAGTCTGCAGGACAGGGAGCCCATGACAAACACTAGACTGTGTATTTGTCATGCACAGAGGTGATTGCTGGTCAGATACCTCAGTCCCCAGATCCAATCAGCCTTAGAAGCTGAGTGCTTTCTCCTCACACATTGCTTTGCTGCTGGAAAT